TTTCCGTGGCTCCTATTGGTCCTCTACGATTGATCTATGTGTTATTAAATTTTTCATTTAAAATCATTTTCATCTTACAAAAATGGGGCGGTGCCTCATCATGCGTAAATCATAAATTTTGTATTAAACTTAAATTTATTTTATTGAAAAAAAGCATTAATTCTTTTTTCAGGAATGTCGCATATGTTTCTTCAGTTAACTGTGGCGGCAAGAAATATGATTCTATCAATTTATTGTCTAATATACCCAGACATACGTTTAGAGAAAATTGTTGTTGAAAATTTTGGTGTATTATAGAATGAGGATTGGTTTCGCCGGTGTTAGGATTAGTCATGTTGCCTAATTCACCGGACGATGGCTTCTTTTGAGATCGGAATCTCAAACTCGATTTGTGTAACCGTGTCCGACGACACGATGCACGGTTTACAATGATAGTCTTGACTGCCTGAGAAGTAATCGGTAGTGTTTACTGGCCGAAAGCCTTATCGGTAGTGAACGTTAGCCAGGAAGAAAGTCGCTCAGATGAACTCTCTTCCTGGCTAATTGGGAGTGTCCTAATTATGAGTGGGGAAAATGTCGGTACTGTAATTGGGGTATCGACATTACCCGATGCGCGATGCAGGTCCAGAGCGGGCGGGCACGTGTTTAGATCCAGAACATTTGACGGTCGAGGCGAATGTTTTGGGTAACCTAAGCTGTTTTTGCTCAGGCTTACCGACGCCTCACCGCGCTGGGGAGCCCTCAACCGAAACCTTCTGGAATGTTCTGTTTACAGGTCGCGACGACGCTCGCGACCAAGGATTTTTGATTACATTTGGATATTATGTATATATTAAATATTCCACATCTTGTAAACGTGGTTTCATATATAAATAATATTTTCTTAGTGAAAGTTGTATCATCATTATATTTTCTTTGTATTTCTAAATAAAATAATGACTTTCGTAAATAATCTGTCAGAATTAACTTTTGTCCTTTCTAATGTTTCCCATACAGAAACATGATGAATCCCTTCTTTTCTAGTTCTTTTTTTTCTTGTATTAGGATTTTTTTCTCCGAAGCATTGCATTCTTCTGTATTAAGAGTTCTCTATATCCCGGACTTTTCTGCATCACTAGCATCTTTTATGAAAGTTTCATATATTTTTAAACGTTGAATAACGCTTTGAAATGTCTTCTCATTTGAAATTTTACGAAAAAGAAATCTTTCTGTATCTTTTTTTTGTTTTATAACGATTTCCATTTGAACCATATCAGTCTTTTCTTCAAACATATATAATAAAAAATATATAATAAAAAATTTATATTAATAATAAAGCACAAAATAAAATTAATTAAAACTATTTTCATATTTTTTTATTATATACTATTAAAAATTATTATAAATTATATTATATTATAAATTATAATGATGCTTGATAATATTAATGTTTAATGATATTTCTTATTTGCATTTTAAATTCATATTGACGCTATTTTTTTTATAAAATAGTTTTTTGTTTTTATTAAAAAAGTATAAGATAGTGTATGAAAATATATGATAAATTTATTAAAAAAACGTGTCTTGATGACACGAGTTCGATACATCCTATTTTTTTTTATTT